TTTTTTTTTTTTTTTTTTTTTTTTTTTTTGGTAACAGTGAAAAATAACATGTTTATTAATAGGGGAATAGTTAAATAAATGTGGTGCATTCGTATTTTAGACTCCTCCTCTCATACAGTTAACCACTAGAGGGCCACCCACTGTTTGAACAGACTATGGACTCCTTTGATCTGAATAAATGGTATTGGGAACCACTGGAGCTTCTTTACTGAGGGGCTCATGAACTGTGATGATTTGCCAGAGTTCTGAGTAACAAGAAGGTGACTATTAGGTGACTATATTAGAAGGTATCTAAGGTTTTAAAATCATGCATTCCTAGAGATAAGGAGCATTGCTTAGATAATGGAAATCTAATGGGCTCTTCTCCTGGAGGACCCTGTTTCCATTGATGGCAACCTTCCTCTGAAGGCCCTTTGGTGACTGACAAGAAAGGCAAGCTGGAAGACCCATTTGATCTTCCATATGAATGTTTGAGTTCTGTTTAGTGCTAGGGCAGTACATTTCAAAGTGTGGGCCCTGGACCAGCAGTCTCAGGATCACATGGAAACATGTTAGAAATGCAGATTATTAGGCCCCACTTCAGACCTACTAGTCGGGAACTCTGGGGCATCAAGCCCAGGAATCTGTGTTTTAGCAGCTCTCCAGATAATTCTTATGCATGCCAAGTTTTGAGAAGCACTGTCTAAAGGTCCTTGTTGCTGCCTCTGTCTTTTGGTCTTACCTTTTGTGGAAGGAACAAGCTCCTGGACCCTGCCCTGCCATATATCTTTATGTAGAAGAGGTTTGCACTGTCTAAAGGTCCTTGTTGCTGCCTCTGTCTTTTGGTCTTACCTTTTGTGGAAGGAACCAGCTCCTGGACCCTGCCCTGCCATATATCTTTATGTAGAAGAGGCTCAGGGATTCTCATTTGGGTTTGTTGGAACAAAATGGAATGACCTCCATGTCTAAGACTATTCCTAATAACCCATACCTTATGATTGCTTAATATATACTAATTCAGATTATGATGGCTATGATTAGAACCAAAATGAAATTTGGATGAAATGGAAAAAGGTGGTGTAAAAAACACAGATACAAATAATGCTCCAAGTCTAGCAAACAGCATTAAAAAGGACAAAGAGAGCTCAGAGTAACACATGAGGAGCATTGATGTGTTAAAAAAAAAAAAAAAAAAAAGCCTCATGACTATGTCTTTGACATGAGGAAAAAAAGCAACTCAACTGAAAGGTTTAATTTGTAACAGAAGTCTCAAATGGCTGGATAGCCACTGCTATGAGCAAGAGCTGTGTTTCTAAATATGGCCATGCTTTGCATATGTGTATAAATAGCTTAGACAAGGAGCCCTAATTTCCAGTGACACAGTTAGGAGGGGACCTAACTGTGACCTGTCATGTAGCCAAGGACTTGATTCTTCATCTGCCAAGCAGCACTGTAATAAACAAAACCAAAATACCAATTCTCTTTATCATGGAATTTTAAATTTATATTTAGCAAGTTATGGAATTTTAATTATTTCGATTCAGGGGTTAAAGACCTAATTAATAGGTTTTGAATCTGTACTCATAGAGGACCATTTAGAAACTAACATTTAAATTCTAATCATATCTAAGCTTATTTAATTTGATTTCTTACTGTGTGTTTGAAATTGCAGAAGTCAAGGCATGTTTTTAACAAAACCAAACTGTCAAGGGTCTTTCCCTGAAGGGAACAACACTTCCTTTGCCCCTCTTTTAAAGTAAAGTATTATTTTCAATCACGCTTTGTAGTTAGTATTTTCTGGAACATGGTTTAACATTCCCATCTCTGCCACCTTTAGCTAACTGTAAGAGCATCAGCTGTATCCTTTGGCTCCTAAGCCAAGAAGGATCTCTACAGGTGGTCTAGTTTATCCCATTTCTTCTAGCTATGTTCACCCTAAAAACATTCTAGAATGCAAAGACTCTGTTGTGATTTTAAAGACCTCTAGGGAAGAATACTACTACTAATAATAAAAATAATAACCAACATTTATTGAACATTTACCAACACCAGGCCCTGTGCTGAGCTCTTTGTATGCATCATTTCATATAATACTAAAAACAACCCTGTGAGGTAGGTACTATTATTATCTCCATCTTATAGATGAGGAAATAAGCTTTAGAGGGTTAAGTCATTTACCCAAGGCTATGGAAAGGGGATTCTTCAGGATTTGGGGGCAATAATTCCTGTATTTAGCAATTCTCACATACTATTCATTAATCCATTCATGCAATCTACCAGTGCCAGACCGTTTTTGAAGCCCTGGGAATTCAAAGGTGAATAGAATTTCCTTACCCTTTAGAACCTTACGGTTTATAGGAAGAGCCAGACATTTAGCAATGTGATTAATTCTATAACTGGAATAGTATAGGAGAGCAGTGAAGAACATGGGTTAGAGCCCTGCTCTACCACTCAAGCTCCATGGATTTGATTTTCTGACTTCTTCGTCAATTTGGGAACTCTTTAGATCCTCTTCAAATTATCTCCAAATCTCTGTATCACTGTTGGAGCCCAAACTATTTCATTAGGGGTTTGAGCCAATGGTTCCTACATATCATATTCCTGTATATCCATGCAGATTGTTTTTCCCTTTTTTGCTAATGTTGTTTCATTTTCCCTTCTTGGTTCGATCTTGTTGGCGTGCCAGAAGTGCTAGAAAATGCACTTCAGCTCTGCTTTGCTGTAGCCATTTGTACATTTGGTTCTTTTTCTCCCCCCAGCCATATTACCAATTCAAACCCATATTAAGAAACTTCCAGTGGTAACACTTAGGTAAACCCTAGTGGATGACAGTGATGAATGAGACACAGTTCCCAACTTCAAGTGGAGAAAATAAGCTATGTATAAAAATGTAAGGCATGTCAAAAAGGGAGGGCATTCATCTTAAGCTTTATTCTCTTTGTTTTATATCACTTTGCTCATATCATTTTGAATTTAAAATTTATTTCTGTTGCCCAGACATATTCTCCTGCCAGTTTTACAGCCCTGCATTATTTGTCATCATGCAGTCATAGACAAAAATGGAGCCTAGGATTTATTTGTTCAGAAAACCACTCTGATTCATACGCTGCTGGGCTGGGTGGGAAGAATGATTACAATTGTGGGGTAGAAGGAGCTTTTCAAAGCACACCCACCATGCTTCCCTAGGGATTTGGACCTGCTGCCCAGTCCTTCACTGCTATTTGAGATAATTAGTAGGAGAGATACCGTGACTGATGGGGCTATGTCCTCTCCCTCATGTGGGTGGGGAGAAAAAGGCTGAAAATCCACACTTATGGCCAACTGGGCACATACCTAACCACTACTGGATCTAAATCACTCTTTTCCAGCCACTGTGCTGTCATGGAGTATCCAGGTGTGTCAAGGTATGGCTTACCCACACCATTGTCACAGCATTTACAGCATTTATAGGATGTACAGTGCCTGTGTCTGATATGCAGCCTGAAGTCCAAGTCCCATAAGTTACACATACAAATAAACAGCAAAGTGAATAACTAAAGAGGGTCACTGATTAGATGAAGACCTCCTAGGTAAACAAAAGTCATGCCACGTTTCAACAAGTAATAATGATAACACAAACTATTTTCGAGCCCCTAAAGCTGCTTATTAGATCTGGCCAAAAAGTCAAAGCACATTTAAATGTACAAATATTATCTTTTATATTCCCAGAGAAAACCACACCCACCCCCTTATTTGATGTTGATTTGGAGTTGATTTTGAATTGAAACCTTCATATTCTATACCATGTTCTGTCAAAGGTATTCAGGAAAGATCATGGGTGTTTTGAAAATTGGGTTTATATAGCCCATTGAAATAAAGGCATGCATTCCTTACAAGAAAGGGCATATTTGATTTCACTCAGTGTCTTAGTTTCTTCCTAAGGATTTGGTATTTCAGGGAATAAAAAATAGCATAGAAGAGTTCCTAAACCTCAACTCCAACCATATCATCAGAGCAGTTTTTCCTCAACATGCTGAAAATGCTATATAGAACAGAAACAGAGGTCACTGGCAACAATGGTCTAAATTTGTATCACTTACAGAACTATGTTAAAACAACTACATCTTAGTCCTCTGGATTTAGCTTTCCTTTCTTCCTTTGTGAGAATATCATTTAATGAGGAATTTCCTCTTATTTTACAGACTATACTTCTCAATGCAAGCTCGTGGAGAGACTGATAGAGAAAAGTTGCTGTTAATGTATCAGACAAATGATCAAATAATAAATGGACTTTTCCCTCTGAACAAGGATCTGGCATTAGAAATGGCAGCTCTTTTAGCTCAGGTAACTTCCATGTTATGTGGAGTAACATATTGAAATAATAAGATACTAATTTCTGCACTGAATTAAATGAGTAAAACAATATACCTTCAGTAATTCTTTAAATTCATTTTGCTATGATTAACACCTTAAAAAGTACAGGCATTATAATTACAGTTTGACTCTGAATAGCTGATTATTGCAATGGTTTAGAATGAGACAGTATTCCATGATACCATATTATCTTTAGTTATAGACAATAGTGGCATAGTGGCCTTTAGCAAATACTACTAGATGATGATAGTAGCCTAGGGAGGTTAACATAGAAAGGGAACTGAAATGTTTAAATTATAGATTATTTTTCAAAATTAGAATTCAAGGGCCGGCCCGGTGGCGCACTGCTACAGTGCACCGCCTGGGAGCGCAGCGGCGCTCCCGCCTAGGGTTCGGATCCCACATACAGACCGGTTCCCGCTCACTGGCTGAGCAAGGTGTGGGCGCAGCACCGAGGGTTGCGATCCCGTTGCCGGTCCCGGTCCGGTATGGGCGTGACACTGAGGGTTGCGATCCGTTGCCAGACACGAAAAAAGACAAAAAAAAAAAAACGAAAAAAAAAAATTAGAATTCAAGTGAAATTTAGATTTAATAACAGTTCTTAAGAGCATGCCTGGGGTCTTAGGCACAGAGCCATGGGCAGTACTCCCCACCCAAAAGCGGGTAAGAGGGCACACCAAAAACACCACTTCCATGCAGGTGGCCCACCATAGCCACTACCACAGCCACAGCTTCCAAAAAAGAGGTTCAGCACCACAGCAGCAACCATAGCCACCATGCAGGCAGCCCCGGCCCACCAGACACTCGATTGCATTGACATAAGGAGTCAATGACACCAGTAGAGACCAGAAAAAGAAGAGGACATCTCTCTCCTCAAAGCCTACTCCAGAGTAATAGAGGAAGCAACTGCTCTACCAGATGACCAGCCATCAACATTTAATACTAGAAATATGAAAACCCAAGGAAATATGACACCATCAAAAGAATACAGCACTTCTCAAATACAAGAACCTATAGATCAGGAAACCTTGAAATGACTGAGAAGGAATTCCATGCAACAATCTTAAGGAAACTCACCGAGATATGGGAAGACTCAGACAACATAATGAAATGAGAAAAAAAATCCAGGATATTAAAGAAGAAATTTACAAAGAAATTAATACCTTAAGAAAGTATGTAGCAGAATTCATGGAACTGAAAGATTCACTCAGCAAAAAAACAAACAAACAAACAAAAAAAAAAAAACCAACAAACTGATAGCTTAAGCAGCAAGCTAGAACAAGAAGAATTTCTGATCTTGAACATAGTCTTTTCAAAATAACCCAAGCACACAAGAAAAGGAAAAAAGAATTTTAAAAAATGAAGAAAATCTAAGAGAGCTAGCAGACAACCTTAAATGCACAAACATTCAAATCTAAGTGTTCCAGAAGGGGCAGAGAAAGGAAATGGCATGGAAACCTACTCAATGAAATAACAACAGGAAACTTCCCTGGTATAAGGAGAGACTCAGACCTTCAGATCGAGGAGTCTTAAAAATCCCCAAACAGCTTCAACCCAAAAAGATCCTCTCCAAGACACATTATAGTCACACAAGCAAAGCTCAAAGACAAAGAGAAAATCTTAAAAGAAGCAAGAGAAAAGCATCACCTATAAAGGAGCCCCTATCAGACTAACAGCAGACTTCTCAACAGAATCTCTACTGGCTGGAAGAAAATGGGATATATTCATAATCCTAAAAGAAAAAACTGCCAGCCAAGAATACTATATCCAGCAAGGCTATTCTTTAGAAATGAGGGGGAAATAGTGTATTTTCCAGACAAACAAAAACTGAAGGAGTTCCCCACCACACGACCAGCCCTATGAGAAATCCTCAAGGAAGTCCTGCATCTGGAATCCAAAAAATGATAATCACTACCACAAATACACAAAAAAGAACAAAACCCACTAGTAAAACAAAAATGCAAATGAGAAAGAGAAAGAAACTAAATCTTACCACCACAAAAAGCCATAGTGACAATGTAATAATGCCCCTACTTTATTTCAAGCTTTTGATAATTTTGTTCTTGGTCGGTCTAGATAAAGGTTTGCAAATTTTGTTGAACTTTTTAAAGAATCAGCATTTGGTTTTGTTGATTTGAGAACAGAGATATAGTTTTTTAATTCCTTCTTTCATATATTTCCATTGTAATCTTCATTATTTCCTACTTATATTTGCTTTTGGTTTAGTTTGCTCTTCTTTTTCTATTTTCATAAGGTAAAAGTTTACATTATGGATTTGAGATTTTTCTTATTTTTAATGTAGGTGTTTACAAGTATAAATTTTTTTCTAAGCACTGCATGAGCCCTGCATCCTATAAATTTTGTTATGTTGTGCTGTGATCTTTATCTCAAAGTACTCTCTAATTTCCCTGTGATTTTTCTTTTTACCCATTGTTTATTTAGGAAAGTGTTGTTTAATTTCTACACATTTGTGAGTTTTCTAAATTTCTTTTTGTTATTGTGTTCAAAGAACATATTTTCTATTATCTTCAGCTTCTTTAAAAAAAACAAGGAAAAATTTAAACAAACAAAAAAAGTTTATGGAAAGATTTCTATTTTTCCATGAACTTTCTGAAGTGCCCTTGTGTTTGTATTTTGTTTTATTGATTTTTTATGTAATATATGTTTTTAAACTTGGGTATTTAATTTCTGTTCTTGATTTCTTTTTTTTTTTTTTGTCCTTTTAGTGACCGGCCGCACCACGCTCAGCCAGTGAGTGCATCATGCCGGCCATTCCTATACAGGATCCGAACCTGCAGCAGGAGCGCCGCTGCGCTCCCAGCGCCGCACTCTCCTGAGTGCACCACGGGCTCGGCCCTGTTCTTGATTTCTTTTTAAGTGGACTTGTTGATTTCTTAGGATTTGCCTTTGAAAAGTTTATTAATCTTCCTCTGTTGAAATTAATTTGATATTTGCAAGCTCTTGGAAGACTTTAGAGAGCTATTTCAAATAATTGAAGAAATTATAAAATGAAATATGTAAATTTTAATAAGTTCTGCATCTCCAGTTTTTGTGAAAATTTGAAGCCCTGCTTTCTACAGAGTATTTCGTATTCATCTCTTATGCAGTTTATGTATTTGTTATTTGAACAAATAAATGTGTATATCCTTAAAAATAATAATAACAGTTTTTATGTGTATTAGTCCACTTATGTTGCTTATAACAAAATATGTGGAACTGGGTAATTTATAAAGAAAATGAAATTTATTGCTTACAGTTTCTAGGCCTGGAAAGTCCAAAGTCCATCTGGTAGTGGTGACAGCGACCCAGGAGTCTCACACTGCAAGATGGTGGAAGCCGATAGAGCAGGAGAGAGACAGACAGACAGACTCTCTTCTTCTTTTAAAGCCCTCAGAACCACACCTCTGACCACCATTTTTAATCCATTCACTACTGCCTGGTCCTGCAATCCAATCACCTCTTCAAGGCTACACCTTTCAATTACATTAATAGGATTTTCCACCTTCTTTTTTTTTTTTTCCTTTTTGTCTTTTTTCGTGACCGGCAACGGATCGCAACCCTCAGTGTCGCACCTGTACCGGACCAGGACCG